ATATTATTTTTTAATTTTAGACGCATGACTTAATTTATAGACGGACTTGGAGAGATTTCCCAAGGTTTACTTTCCGATTATTGACAGGCATAAATGTTGACTTGTTTTAATTTTAGTCAGTCAGTGTTATCCCTGCATAATAGCGAAGTCTTCCTATCTTGACTATTGATTGTCTCTGATTTTCTTTTTACCTTTTAAATTAAATAACGATTATCTTTAAAGTTTAAAATTAAAGAATTTTAACTAAAAATTAAAAATTATATAATAGTATTGTATAATGGCTCAATAATTTAAAAAACAAGTTAAAAGAAAAAAGACTATAAGCCAGAAATTTTATCTATAAAATTAGTAGATAAGTAAAAAAATATCTTAGTAAATTAATTATCAAATTTAACATACCGGCTAACAACGTTTCGATCACGATCGGATCATTATCAATGTTTACAAAATATGTCTAAATGGTAAAAAAACGTAACATATAGTCGATCGAAAATTGAAAATATACTTCATATAACTATAATTTGTTACTATATAATTAGTTGGTATCAATAAATTAAGAAGGATCTTCGTCTTGTTAGTCAAATTGAACAGTAACATATATAAAATACATACATTAGAATTTGTCAGAAAAGTAAAAATTTATACTATAGACGGTATAGACTAAAAAGTATATACTTAATCTGACACTGACTAGTCAACAAGTTAAAACCCATACAGCACCGAATGTTAAAAAAATGTTACTGAGATATTGCATTGTTGAATGTTGAAATGTTGTATCTATATTGATTCTTCAACATTGAAATAACATTAAATAAATTATATATCAACTACTTTTTTTTTGTAAACAATGAACAAAAACAGATTATCTCTCATGCAAAATATTTAGAAAATTTAAATATTGTAATTCAAATTGATCTTTTGACAAAACTCATTTTTAAACGATATCTATATGTTTACGCGAGAATCGGCTGCGCGTTCAGAGTGCTCGTGTGCGATATTGTTTGTTTGTTCGATGCTTCGACTCGTGGTCTTTGTATATATAGCTATATGTTTCAATTAACATCCACTAACATTCAGTATTCATAGATCATCGAAATAGCAAATACAATCGCAGAAGTTAAGCATGCCATATGGAAGTACAGATCTGGGTGACCGCTTACGAAAATAAGGAAATTAATTCCCAAATGAAATAAAAAGCGTTTTTTAAAATTATATTTCAATAATTTTGTCGTGTATGTTTTGAAATATAATGTTTATCAATAATGCTTATTTTAATAATAAAATTGAATTAATTATTGTAACATCACATGAATTGCAACGTCTCACATACATTAATTGTAATTCAACGGACATTAGATTATTCTGCAACATCTCTTCAACATTGAATCTTCATTTCGCAATGTTACTTCAGTGTTCACAATGTTGCAATTCAACGTTTCTGAGATATTGATTCCACATTAGTATGCTACGAGGGCAAGTCAATAAAATTTCAGAAAAACATAGTAAAACATTTTTTTTGATCGATTCATTTTTATTTCTCAATATAGTCTCCTTTTAGCTCGATACACTTGATCTAATGATTCTCCAACTTTTTCAAGCCGTCCGAATAATATGATTTGTCCAACCTTTCAAAATAAACCTCTGTTTCGGGGATGAGCTGCTTTCTAGTGGCGAATCTCTTTCCTCCGAACCATTTCTTCAGGAAACACGAAATAGTCGCAGGAGGTTAAATCTGGCGAATATGCTGGATGGGGAAGCAATTCGTAGCGGAATTCGTTGAATTTGGCCATCGGGCACGTGTGAACCCGTGCATTGTCTTGATGGAAGAGCACTTTCTTCTTCACCAAATGGAGACGTTTTTTCTTTAAAATGTGTTGAAACGGTCCAATAAGGCTGCGTAGTAATAGTCGCCATTGATCGCTTCGACGGAAAGTAATCGATATGAATTGTACCGCGTGCATCCTAAAGAACTGTGACCATCACTTTTCCGGCCAACTTTATGGTCTTCGCCTTCTTCGGAACTGGTTTACCCGGTAAAGTCCATTGTTTTGACTGTACCTTTATCTCGGGTGTGAAGTAATGGATCCATGTTTCGTCCACAGTAATGAATCGAGAAAGAAATTCATCTGGATTACGTTGGAACATCTCCAAACTTTGTTTTGACCGTCACACGGTCACGCTTATGGTCCACAGTGAGGAAACGCGGCATCCATCTTGCTAATAGCTTTTTCATACCCAATTGTTCATGCAAAATTGTAATCACTGTGCCATGTGATATACCTGTGGCCTCAATTAGCTCGTGCACTTTCACTCGTTGATCAGTAAAAACAATATCATGGATTTTATCGATGATTTCTGGCGTAGCAGCCTCAATTGGACGTCTCGAACGAGATGCATCACATGTGGATGTACGACCACGTTTAAATTTATTCATCCAATTGTATACAGTCGCAAACGCTGGTGCAGATGTGCTATGAACATTATCCACTCGGCTTTGATTTCTTTCGGCATTAAACCTTTCATATGTAGATGTTTGATCACTGCACGAAACTCGTTTTTTTCCATTTTGCAAAAAATACAAAGATTGTTCGCTTTAATCGTCTACAGAAATGAAACCACGCGATGAATTCCACTCAAAATTCGACAGTAATTAGCTGAAAGATGCTACTTGTCAAAAAGTAATGTGATATGACATTGCGAGTGCCCTCTGACAGATTTTTTAAGAACTTATTGACTTGCCCTCGTATATGGGTAATTCTTTTACAAACAGAACGGATTTTGATGAAAATTAATCGGCACCTCTTCGATTTGACTGAAACTTTTTTTACGGATTCTATGTCGAAAAAAAAGAGATACGTGTCCGAGGAATTTTTTTTTATTTGCATATTTTCGATAATACAAGTGGGTAATTAATTTCGAATCGAATCTCCTGACATGTTAGAAAACCAATCTTGATTTCAATCAAGATTGATTTTCTAACATGTCAGGAGATTCGATTCGAAATTAATTACCCATAAACTTTTTTTTATGCAAATTGTCAAGAAATAATTGTTACAAAGCTGATTTTTAACATTTTTTGCAATTTAATTTAAAATTTTGAGGTTATGTCAAAAAAAATTTTGAGAAAAGTTGTAGATCTGTCAATTATCTACAACTTTTACATTTAACTTTTTTTGATACGAGTTACAGATTTCGTTTTATTAGCAAAAAACCGTTTTTTTGGCCGTTACGCGCTATATAAATTAATATTTTAACAATAATAATTGAAAAGGTACCATATTTTGAAAACATGTTTTTGACGTAAAATTTGACGGAGAATGCGATAAAAATACTAAAAACTTGATTCGTTTTGGGGGCGTTTGTTAAAAATCGATTTAAACAATTAAATTGTTAATAACAATATAAATTTGTTAGTATTTTTTGTAAAAAAAATTTTTTTCTTACAGTTCAGTCCTTCAGCTACAAAAGTGCAATTGGTGAAAATTTTGTAGCTCTTAAAGATTCGGACCTATGGATTTATGTGAAAATGAGTCTCCAAGCCAAAAAACTTGCCATTCTCAAATGTTCGATCACTTGTATTATCGAAAATATGCAAATAAAAAAAAAATTCCTCGGACACGTATCTCTTTTTTTTTCGACATAGAATCCGTAAAAAAAGTTTCAGTCAAATCGAAGAGGTGTCGATCAGACAGGTGTTCGATTTGTAAAAGAATTACCCATATGGGAAAACTAGTTTTTGATCAGATAATTGTTGTTTATTGTTTGCGATATAGTGTTTTATGTTCATGATGAGCTTCTTATTGTGAATTATAAATCTATTAAAGTCTTCCAAATTTCATCTCTGTGATATATTCTAAAAATTGTTCTTCTCTTTTCTTCGTAACATTCCGAATTTAATTTTGATATAGGATTCTTTGTGTAGCGGAGGGAGCTCAATATGACAAGATAGTTATTACGTATGCATTGTATAAAGATAATTTATGTCTCTGAAGAGGGCTCAAAAATGCGTCAAAACATGTAGATGCGTTATTGTAATAAAGAGTGTTGTATCTGTATATTATTTGCGTAACGACTACCGCACCTGACTCCTATTGTCCCTTCATCTCAAAATTTCTTTTGAATTGTGTGCATGAAGAGGTTAATAATTGTCTTCAAAATTGTCAAGTAAATTTCATTAAATGTTTCTATTACTAAACATTCATTCTTAATATTTAATTGTAAAAAATTAATACATTATGTTATAGTTTATTTTCAATTAGCGATTTCCGTGTTAACGCTATTAATGTTGCTAAATTGCATATTTAAGATAAACAAAATACTGATAAGTACAATAAAATAATAAATATAAAAAGGCGTACAGGAGTCAAGCGTAATTATTATTACGCAAATAAAACTTATTAATAACAAATAATATACAGCCTGTCACATGAGAACGTCGCCCACATATCTGAAAAAAAAATTATTATTTTTAAGAAATGTATAGATGAATTTAAATAATAGTACTTTTACGCATTTACTTACTCTACTTTAAAAAATCCGGTAAAAAACGATAGAAATTTATAGAAATCTGATAGAAATCCTATATAATTTTTATCAGGACCTATCGTACCTATCGGACATTAAATCCACGACAGATAAAAAAGTTATAAATTTCTATCGTTTTATATCTTATATTAAATAAATGATAGAATACTTATTGGAAATCACAAGCTTTTCTACAATATATGATTCTATCACTATTATATCGGATTAATAAGAAATAAACGAAATGTGTTGCGTCCAAACCCTTAAAACTAAGTCAATGAGACAAAGAGGGAAAATGGAGAGAGTGTGGAAGGACGGCTAGACTCAATCTCGCAGGTATTCGCGGAGAGGCGAACACCCGTGAGTCGTACACATCTTTTCGGTCCCGGAATGCAAGTCAACGTCCCGAAGGGACGCTATGATACCTATTCCGAGAGAGAGTGCGAACGTCGGTCCTACTTTTTGGGTCAAGGAACTTAATCCTTTTGACCCGGGATTGGACCTCGTACGATCTCAGGAATTAGAGGGATGAATGAAGCGAAGGGTAACTAAAAAAAAAGATGAAAGCTAGCGATTTTTAATTAACAATTAGCTTATATTTATTTGACTAAGGTTATTGAGCTTACAGACATTATGTAAAATAAAATAAAAATATTATCATACATGTGTTTACAAGGTGTGTGTGTGTGTGTGTGTATGTGTGTGTGTGTGTATGTGTATGTGTGAGTGCGTGCGAGCGTGCGTGCGTGCATGCGTGTGCGTGTGCGTGTGCGTGTGCGTGTGTGTGTGTGGAGAGACAGGAGAAAAGGGAAAAGGGTTATTGAGGATTAGAGGCAAGAAAGGTGGTGCAGGAGCACATCGGGATGAGGTACTTATATTGGACTATATATGGTAAGGGTTTCCGGGAATATAGACTGTCATCAGTCTATCTCCCTTGTTGGTAGGGGAGGAATAAAGCCGATCCCAGTCGATCGGCGCGGGATTTGGTTGAAATGGAGAAGGGTTTAGGAGGAGAGGGAGGGAGTCACTCTTCGTAGAAAGGAGGGAGAGGAATTCGGTCCTCGAGGGAAGAAGGGGAATAGTTTAGGATTTCCCCGATAGTGGGATCAAGTACAAAGGGGGGGGGGGGAGCTAAGATCAAGAGGCTCCGGTCGGTCGTTGATGCTCAGCGAATATGAAATTTCCAAAAAGTCATCAGTCGATACGCTTTGCGCTGAACGGCCCCGCATATTGCCCCGGATGTAAGGGATTCGCCCTCGAAACTTTTTTGCGTTACTGACGAGCACTATAACTGAAGGGTTAAAAATAATTATATGCTTGTGTACATGCATATACGAGTATACCATCTGATCAAATTTGACCCGGACTGGTCCATTTAAACCGCGCGCGTAAATTGAATCGGTAAACATTTTTTTTTTCTAAATTGGTACAACCTTCTATGACATTCGTGTGAAATTTGAGCGGGATACGTCAGTTAGTGTGTGTTTGGCAGCCATTTGTTTACGACGCAAAAAGTTTCTCTGGCGATTTTTACTATGAAAAAAAAAATTGAACAACGAGTTTGCTTGAAATTTTGTGTTTCCAATGGAATTACGGCTACGGAATCATTGAAAATGTTGCAGAAGTGTTTTTGGGAGTCTACTCTATCGAGAAGTAAGTCGCAAGTATTTGAGTGGCATAAAGCATTCAGTGAGGGTCGTGAGGTCATAGAAAACTTGTCTCATGCGAGTCGTCCATCCACCTCTGTTAACGACGATAACATGGAAAAAGTGAAGGAAATTGTGCTTGAAAATCGTCGTGTTGGCATTAGAGAGATAGCAGAAGCTCTCAACATCTCTTATGGATCGACTCAACACATTTTGGTTAATGTTTTGGGTATGAAGCGCATCGCCGCCAGACTC